ACAAGAAAATGAACATGCAAAATTTTAAGATTTTTATGATCAAATAGCTATTTTCCATAGGTCTCAAAGCTGGGCAAAACATTGGAATTCAGAGAATCTTTGAACAGGATGAGAAATCAGGCCTCTCATTCTTGTATTCATTCTCTAATTTCAAATTTAAATGTTTTGTAATGCTTTGAGACCTATGCAAAAAACAGTGACCATTTGATCATTTTAATAAGTTATTTTAGGTGGGCACAGTGGCTCAGGCTTGTAATCCTTGTACTTTGCGAGGCTGAGATGGGAAGATGGCTGGAAGTCAGGAGTTTGGAGACCAGCCTGAGCAACACAGCAAGACCTGGAGGGAGGCACGGAGGCAGGGAGGGAGGAAAATTAGTTGGATATGGTGGCGTGTGCCTGTAGTTGTAACTGAATGGGAGGCTGAAGGAGGATCTCTTGAGCCCAGGTGTTTGAGGTCGCAGTGAGCTATGGTGACACCATTGCATTCTAGTCCTGGCAACAGAGAAAGACTGTCTCCAAACAAACAAAAAACCCCATAATTGTAAACCACAAATTGGCATCAGAATCATCTTAGCAGCTTTTCCAAAATACACATAATACCTGCTTCTGGAGGAAATTTAAGTAATTACAGAAACAAAAGGTAATTTAAATTCTAATAGTTACTTTCCCAGAAATTTGAGAAGCTACTGCATACACAAAATATGAACCAGATTATTGTGAAAAAGGAATATAATAGGAAAGTTATTGGAAATTAAAGCAGTTGTGGAAATTTTTAAAAAGGAGATGGCTTAGGCCGGAGGCAGTGGCTCACACCTGTAATACTAGCTCTCTAGGAGGCCGAGGTGGGAGGATCCTTTGAGCTCAGGAGTTCGAGACCAGCCTGAGCAAGAGGGAGACTCCATCTCTACTAAAAATAGAAAGAAATTAGCTGGACAACTAAAAATATGTAGAAAAAAATTAGCTGGGCATGGTGGCGCATGCCTGTAGTCCCAGCTACTCGGGAGGCTGAGGCAGGAGGCTCGCTTGAGCCCAGGAGTTTGAGGCTGCTGTGAGCTAGGCTGACGCCAGGGCACTCTAGCCCCGGTAACAAAGCAAGACTCTCTCTTAAAAAAAAAAAAAAAGAGATGGCTTATAAAAGTGACACTGAGGAGGCTAAATTAGTGTGTTGCAAGATAAAACCAAGGAAATCTTATAGAACATAGAGCAAAAAGATTTTTAAAAAAGTCAAGAATCATGGAGGTATTCAAGCACCAGGAGACGTAACATTTGTCTAATAGCAACTTCAGAAAATGAGAATAGAAAAATGGAGTCAAAAATAAAATTAGCATTTCCTGGACTGCTGATGAAAATTGGAGTATTCAGATTGAATGGGCCAGCCAAAGGTAAAGCAGGGAAAATGAAAGAAAATAAAATACACACATGAAATCCCTAAGGAAAAACAATTTGTCAGAGAGAAAAATAGATTGCCTATAAAGGAATATGACTCAGACTGGCATCAGACTTTTCAAGAACAA